CGTGGAAAACTGCACCTTGTAAATTTAAAAAAAAATGATTCGTTTGCGGAAAAAAGCCAAAATTTTGTGAAAATTTTTAAAATTTTCTAAATTTATCGAACTTTTATAAAATTATTAAACGAGGGGCCTGATTTTAGCGATCAAACGGCACAGCTACAACGATGTCCCATTGATCCGTACCATATTATGCCGGACAAATGCTATTGCATTGATTATCAAACACTGAAACTGCAAGAAAATCCGGAAGATGTTCCACACGGTGAAATGCCCCGACATATGCAACTTTATTGCGATCGGTTCGATTTTGAATTTAATTCTCGTTGCTAAATTAAGGTGTAGTTAGCCATCCCAAGATGTTTTTGATATATTTCGCGTACCAGTATTTCGTTCTGAACATTCTCACTACCAAATTATGCCTACAATCGTAAAATCCTAACGAAAAGAAAGTTTTTATGTGGAAATTTAGTCTTATGGTTGCGTGAAATAAAAAATTTTTGAATAATTTTAGTGGAGGATTATTTCAAGTTTTTTTTTTTCAAATTTTTTCTATTCTAAAAATTAAAGATTTTTTCAGTTTTGTTTTTTTTTTTTCAAATTTTATTGTATTCTAGAACTGTTTGCGGAAAAAGCAATTAGCGTTTTTACTAGGACACTTCCGTTTATTGATAAAAATCTTCAAATTTGCCAAATAAATGCTGATAAATCAAGACCTGCTGTCGTAAATTATCAGCGGATGATTGTAAACCCTAACGAAATTTTACGAACTTTAGATATTTAACGGATCGTGTGGCGCCGGGCAATCGTGTTATGATCGTTGGCGTATATTCCATCAAGCGTATTTTCAAAAAACAGGTATTTTTTGAGCGAATCCAGTGGCAGACTTATTGGAATAATGATGTTTCAATATGTTTACTGGAACTTGATACTTTAATATGTTTATTGCAAATTAATATTTTAAAATGTCTATTGGGGCTTGGTATTTTAAAATACTTATTGGGACTTGATTTATTAATATATTTATTGCGACTTGCTATTTTAATATTTTCCTTAGAACTTGGTATCTTAATATGTTCGCTGGAACTTGATAACTTAATATGTTTACTGGGACTTGACAAATTAATATGCCCCTAGGAGCTTGATATCTTAATGTGTTTACTGAAACTTGCTATCTTAATATGTTTATTGGAACTTGATATCTTAGTATGCTCGTTTAAGTACTGTTGCAAATTCGAATTTTAATTTTTGAGTTCTGGTTTTTATTGATATATTATCGTACAGGATAGTTGGCTTTGATTTTGTTTGTATATCTTCGTAATTCCGTTAATTTCGAGCCTCTGTTCACTTCATTTTGTTCATTAGTAAATTAATTCTTCTGTTCATTACTGTATTTGATTCTTATTCTTTTTTAGAGGGCAAACGATAAAACGCTCTCTGGAATTCGTACTCCATACATTCGTGTTCTCGGAATACAAGTACAAACGTGTGGACCGGGACGTGTGGAACGAAGGGAGTTTACACCAGAGGAAGAAAAATTTTTCAAGTTAGATATTTTTTAATACAAATGTGCAACGTATGAAATTTGTCCGTCTTTTTTTATTGTAAACTACGGCTAGCGGCGAAAAATCGGCCAAGAAGCCGTCACATAGAAGAAAAAGAAGGTATGAGGAAGATACACAGTAGATGTGCTGCCAGGCTGAACTTGCGCACAATGACTGGTGGTGTAGTGGCAACACATTTCGCCCGGACGAGAAGGGGAATGGTTCGAATCCCTGCCGATTTAGGGCAATTTTTGGAGAAAGGGCTCCGTTCACGAAACTGTAGCCATTTAGTGCGACATGTTTACCCCAATATGTCGAAGCATTCCAGTGGCATCACTAACGTGAGTTCTGAACAATCTTGAGTAATTTTAGTTTTTTGTCAGCTGCTCAAATAAATTCGAGTATTGATCATTTTCGAGTAAAAAAATGAGTGCTCATTCTAAGGTAATTTGAAACACAGGACAATTTTGCAATATTTCCGTTTGATTGTTTTTTTTTTCCTTTTTTGATAGTTAAAAGTGATCACTTTCAGAAATTTGTAATATTGCAGAGATCTAGCAAAAACTCCAAACATCTATGAATTAATCACTAAAAGCATTGCACCATCGATTTATGGTTCGGAAGATATTAAAAAGTCGATTGCTTGCTTGCTGTTTAGCGGTTCTCGTAAAAGGTTCCCTTTCCAACATCTTTTTTCACTGTTTGAGAAGTACAAGTTTGAAATGGAAGCTTTTTCGGTTTCGAATCCGGAGAGGTAAAAATTACTGGTTCGTTTTGTTACATTTAATTCTGGCACAGCTGTGGTCACTGCTTCGTCAAGGCATCCTAGGCGGTCAAGTTGTAGTGGTGGATGAGGTACCTGTCAGTTTTCAAACTCGTTCTTGCATCGTAATTTGTTTTTTTTACACTATATTTTGGGGTTTCGAAGATTTAAATTTAGATATTTTATGGCTATAAAAAGGTTGTAACAAAGTAAAAAGTGAAAATAAAAAACAAGAACTGAATTGGAGTGTTTCGGTCCATTAAGTCACATGCATTTGTCATCGACGTTATCACACCATCGATGCAGATGTCTTTCCCACTGTGCTTAGGATTAGACTGGGAGTCATTTTTTGCTCTATTTCCTGCCCACAGTTCTCTGGGATAAGTTTTTTTTAAGACTACCAGATGGGCTAACTCGACGTGGCGATATTAACATATTGCTGCTGGGAGATCCGGGAACGGCGAAGAGTCAGCTTTTGAAATTCGTCGAAAAGGTTTCTTTTTCATTCAATTCATACAGAACATAGAACATGCATTATTGAATACACAGAGTGATCATGCAAAAGAAAGGAATATTCAAGAAAACATCAGATTACAGGTAATACGCCCTAACCTGTTCGCGGTAGCGAGATGCATTTACACGTTCTAGAGACTTATATAAGACTCTGCTCGTTTCTTGTAGACGCTCCTCGTTACTTGTATAAATCGCCCAACTTTTCCGCACTACAGCGCAAATGTTAATTAAAATGTTTTTTTTTTTTATTTTTTACTTTCATGGTATAATTTAACTTGTTTAGGTGGCACCGATTGCAGTTTATACATCCGGTAAGGGTAGCAGTGCTGCTGGCTTAACAGCTTCTGTGAATCGCGATCCGGCATCGGTTCGTACATTTTACCACGAAAATTGTTAATTTTTAGTAAAAAAGAGGGAATATCGTTAATTAAAATGTTTTTTTTATTTTCTTAATTTGTTAGCTCTTGTCCTGTCTTAAATTTTAGCGAACATTTATAATGGAAGGTGGTGCAATGGTACTTGCTGATGGTGGAATTGTATGCATCGATGAATTTGATAAAATGCGCGAAGATGATCGTGTTGCGATTCATGAAGCTATGGAACAGCAAACAATTAGCATTGCTAAGGTTCTGTGTTTGATTTTCTTCCAAAAAAAAAAATCGTGGAGTCTAGGCGCGTATGGGGAAAGATCTTAAAACGGGATGATGATACACGGAGTAGGAACATATATCCAAAGTTTCAGCATCCCAGCTTTCCTAGTTGCTGAGAAAATTTTTATTTTTTTTTTTCAAAAAAAAAACGATGGATTTCCAATCAAGTGTTTTAGAAATTTAAAAAATACAAACAATGAATATTCTTGGCAAGGAGACTGGAAGAGAACGGACGGGCCTGAAATCTTTTATATGTTAAAATATTCTGTTTGTTTGGTGTTATTGGCCCACCGTGAAAAAGGATATTATTTTTCAATTTTTGCTGTTTACAAAAGTAATTAGGAAAAACAATCCTTTTTTCTTGTATTCATTGATTCGTTTCGATAGTAACTTGATACTGATACTTTGCTTGATTTTAAGCAAACTTTGGATGTATAAATGGAAAAACCCTTACGGAACGAAATATTTTTTTGAACAAATGAAGCAAATAATTTTTGAATTTTACTAAAAAATTCATTTTATGAAGTTTCAGGCGGGCATCACAACCACGCTGAACTCACGTTGTTCAGTGCTAGCTGCAGCAAACTCGGTGTATGGTCGTTGGGATGATTCAAAAGGTGACGAGAATATTGATTTTATGCCAACGATATTATCACGATTCGATATGATTTATATCGTCAAAGATACTCACGATGTACTTCGTGATACGGTAAGCAGTAGTAGTACCGAATCAGTAACACTGAAACCACTTCTTTATACGTAGAGTTTGCGAAAAAAAAATTCAGAATTTTTATCAAATCGTAAATTGAAGCTTCGTTAGAAAGTTGTGGCCAGCCTTTCACTGAGACGTTGGAAATGATCTGAACGATTTTTTGGAAGGACGTGTACCTGTAAATAATGGTGAAGACACATGTGAACTTGAGTCGTGCAGCATAAGATCGAAAGGCTTGACAAATTTATGCACAGTGTTTAAGTGAATTCAATTGTACTGGTACTTCTTGCCGAACCACAGTTTTTTTTTTGGGAGGGG